TTTGAGTTATATTAAAGCAACATCATTTCTTTACTTTATCAGTTTCCCATAGAAAAGAGAATTATTATTGTTCAGTATTCATTAATAATATCGAAAGTGCTTTCTAATAGATTTAATATTTTCCAAAATTTTTTTTATCAAAAATTGCTATCTGAATATTACTATCATCCTCCAATTTTCTCCTTCCCAGAAAAAGAAGAAAAAGTTATTCAAATAGCTGTATTTCATGTTCAACAAGATTTTTGCTTTAATCTTAATCAAATATAATTTCAGCTTCCTCTTCATAATTTCTCATAATATGCTAATAGCTTCCGAATAAATCAAATTTATTTTAGTAAACAATGTTATCATTTCATCCATTTATCATCTATTATCAGTTATCATATTCATTTCATTACATTATTTATACATTTATTTATTTATTTAAATAATTTCAACATTGTTATATGAAATTTTTATTTTTTTAAAATTTCAGGAATATTTCTATATCGACAAATCGTCACAATTTCATCTTCTTTCCACTGTTTCATTACTTTATTTTACTATCACATTTGGAAGTAATTTTGGAGCAATTCAATATTTTTAATCTTCAACAAATATGTCCACATTGAATGCTTATCGATTGTAAGTTTTAAATAAATTATAGATTGAAAGAAGAAAAATGAAGGGCAATTAAAAATTTTTAAAAATTTCAGATATCAGAATTTCAGATAAAAAAATTCCGAAAATTAAAAAAATAATTTATACAAAATTACATTTGTAAATTTACACTGAGATCTCTTTATTGCATGTTGCATTGTTAATGTATGCCACATAACTCTGAGATATTACAGTTTATGATGACATTTTGATGGCATTTAAATTCAGTTCCAGTTGAATGTTGGTGTAAAATATGTATCTAAATTTTAATATTGTAAATTTCTACTTTGAAATGTTAACATTTTTATACTTAACACTTCTTGTTAGATATTCGGTTTGAATGAAAATGTAGAAAGAAGAAAAAAAATTGAAAAACATGAAAGTATATTCTTTAATAATAAATAAATGATATATATACACATTTTTTTTTTTTTTTTGAAATTGGTATTTTGATTTTTTTTTCTCTCCATTACTACTTTTATTTATTAAACTTATTCAAGGATGAAATAATTTGAGAAGTTTAAGTTCAAATGAATGGACAGATGCTGTTTTCTATTGTAAAATGTGTCCTTGACACTATGCATTTTATTTTACATTATGCATTCCCTTTAATTTCCACATTCTGTTTTTTTTTTTTCAAAATTAACTTTCTATTGTCTATCGGTAGGCATTAGAGTTGTGGATAATGTTGGAATGAAGAGAATTCGTTGACATTTTGTGAGAATTAGATTCTGATGTCACTTCCATCTGTTCTAATTGTTTTTTTATGAGTGATTAGATTTGTTAAATTTATTCTTCAATTTTTATTTCTAGATAGTGTTTATCTTAGTTTGATTTGTCTTTGGAGCAAATGTATAATAAACAAACCCCCTTTCCTTCTTTCTATTATTGAATTCTCTAGGGAGAAAATTGTTGGGCAGGCATGAACAGTTTTGTCCTAGGCTTATTTGCTTTCACTAAATTGATTGCCTTAAACATTGGCATTCCAAACATTCATTGATTCACTTACATCCATCGTGCTTTTCCTTTTTCTCTCTCTCTCTCTCTTTTGACCACAAGTTTGGTTTTTTGATTAAACCAGCAACATTTATATGCATCTTATATTTATATGCAACATTCTATATGATATTTCGATCTCCCAGGCGCGACTTCTTCAGTTTTATTAATTTTTTTCTTCCAATACTTTAAATATTAAAATTAATTTCAGTCACAAATCCAGATTGGGTTACTACAGAAATTTCGACAGATTTTAAAAGTTTTAATAAAATAAATACTAAAAATGTTTTAATTTTACTTAATTCTGTTTCAAATAAAATCTACCTGTGCTGGAAAAATGTAATTCATTTAAAAATAAACATTTATTGAACTTAATTGATTACTTTTATTTGCATTAAACTGATCTGCTGACATTCAATTTACTATTTTTGACATTTTATGCTATCTTTGGACTTTAAAAGTTAACTTTAAAGCAAACTTTCATTGCAGAAATTAATTAAATCTGCAATTATAATTGATTTCAAATATTTTTTAAATATTAAAATTAATTTTAGTCACAAATCCAGATTGGATTACTGCAGAAATTTCGACAGATTTTAAAAGTTTTAATAAAATAAATACTAAAAATGTTTTAATTTTACTTAATTCTGTTTCAAATAAAATCTACCTGTGCTGGAAAAATATATTTTATCTTAAAAATAAACATTTATTGAACTTAATTGATTACTTTTATTTGCATTAAACTGATCTGCTGACATTCAATTTACTATTTTTGACATTTTATGCTATCTTTGGACTTTAAAAGTTAACTTTAAAGCAAACTTTCATTGCAGAAATTAATTAAATCTGCAATTATAATTGATTTCAAATGTTTTTTAAATATTAAAATTAATTTTGGTCACAAATCCAGATTGGATTACTGCAGAAATTTCGACAGATTTTAAAAGTTTTAATAAAATAAATACTAAAAATGTTTTAATTTTACTTAATTCTGTTTCAAATAAAATCTACCTGTGCTGGAAAAATATATTTCATCTAAAAATAAACATTTATTGAACTTAATTGATTACTTTTATTTGCATTAAACTGATCTGCTGACATTCAATTTACTATTTTTGACATTTTATGCTATCTTTGGACTTTAAAAGTTAACTTTAAAGCAAACTTTCATTGCAGAAATTAATTAAAACTGCAATTATAATTGATTTCAAATATTTTTTAAATATTAAAATTAATTTTAGTCACAAATCCAGATTGGATTACTGCAGAAATTTCGACAGATTTTAAAAGTTTTAATAAAATAAATACTAAAAATGTTTTAATTTTACTTAATTCTGTTTCAAATAAAATCTACCTGTGCTGGAAAAATATATTTTATCTAAAAATAAACATTTATTGAACTTAATTGATTACTTTTATTTGCATTAAACTGATCTGCTGACATTCAATTTACTATTTTTGACATTTTATGCTATCTTTGGACTTTAAAAGTTAACTTTAAAGCAAACTTTCATTGCAGAAATTAATTAAATCTGCAATTATAATTGATTTCAAATATTTTTTAAATATTAAAATTAATTTTAGTCACAAATCCAGATTGGTTACTACAGAAATTTCGACAGATTTTAAAAGTTTTAATAAAATAAATACTAAAAATGTTTTAATTTTACTTAATTCTGTTTCAAATAAAATCTACCTGTGCTGGAAAAATATATTTTATCTAAAAATAAACATTTATTGAACTTAATTGATTACTTTTATTTGCATTAAACTTGATCTGCTGACATTTAATTACTATTTTTGACATTTTATGCTAATCTTTGGACTTTAAAAGTTAACTTTAAAGCAAACTTTCATTGCAGAAATTAATTAAATCTGCAATTATAATTGATTTCAAATATTTTTTAAATATTAAAATTAATTTTAGTCACAAATCCAGATTGGGTTACTGCAGAAATTTCGACAGATTTTAAAAGTTTTAATAAAATAAATACTAAAAATGTTTTAATTTTGTTTAATTCTGTTTCAAATAAAATCTACCTGTGCTGGAAAAATGTAATTCATTTAAAAATAAACATTTATTGAACTTAATTGATTCTTTGCATTAAACTTGATCTGCAGACATTTTAATTACTATTTTTGACATTCTATGCTAACTTTGGACTTTAAAAGTTAACTTTAAAGCAAACTTTCATTGCAGAAATTAATTAAATCTGCAATTATAATTGATTTCAAATACTGCTTATTATAATTGATTTCAAATACACTGCAATTATTATAATTGACTTCAAATACACTGCTTATAACCATAGACTGCGTGTAAAATAAGCTAAAAGCGTCAAAAAAGTTGTCGTCTTTTATTTTACCAATGTGCACGCACGCACAAAAACCAATATGAATGAATGTGCCACGTTTATTTTGATTACAGTAATGCTTATTGCAGAGATGAATGAGTGGGTGCAGTACATTTTCCTTCAGCCAAATGTTCATATGATTTTTTTTAGCTATAGGCGCTGCAACTGGCAATGCTGGAGTACCGATGGAATGCTGCTGCTGCCGCTGCTATATTATGGTAATTAGTTATCTCGTATCGATCGATGACTTTCCTCTGTACATTATGGGATGACTAATTTTGTCTACTTACACGATATACCCAAATGATTAATAAAGAATGTAAGGGTGAAATCCAAAAATGATGTTAGAATAAACGAATTTGAGGCGTATTTTGCATGGGCATTTTGTACTGCCATCAGGGCTGCACAGTGATACGTACACACAATGCGCTAAGATTTTTGAGAATCCAAGGAGAGAAATGAAAGTCTGTGAGCTACTAGCAAATAAAATAAAAAAAAAAAAGAGCTAAAACTCCACAGATTTAATTAATACTCTTTTCTGCAATTGCTGGGATAATTGTTGGTTTCTGCGTTGTTATTCATCGAGTAAAATCCTTTTTTTGTATTTCTATTAAGGATTTGATAATAAAAAATTTCAAAATTTCATTGTTACATAGTGAAACAACAGGATTTCTCTTCTATTTTTTCTTAAGAGATTTTTCAATCTAAGTGATGTATAGTAGATGATTCTAATGAACAGTTTAGTTTTAGTTTATACAACTTTTTCGAATGTGAGGGAGGCTAAAACTATTCCTGAAGAATTATTAAAGAATAAAGAAATTAGCTATATATATATATATATATATATATATATATATATATATATATATATGTTTCTGAAGAAAGAAAAAATATATTACCTAAAGTGAATTCTCTTTATCTATAAAAAGGTGAAATTAATAGTAGTTGTGAAGTAATAGCAATTATGAAAAGCAGAAGCGATCAAATTGATAAAATTATTGAAAAAGTTGAGCAATGCATTCTTATGATCAGCCAGCTATTGTAATAATACCTATAGAAGAAACAAATCATACTAATTGGTGAGTAATAGTATGTTGTTACACAAGTGAATGATGTTGGAGTAGGTGTAGCCAATAAAAGCATGCAATAAATACAAAAGATATGAATAAAGTTACGAAAAAGTTAAAAATAAAAGCATGCAATAAATACAAAAGAAAAAACGCCTTAATAATAAATTATGTAAGTAAGTTCACAAAATACATGCATGTTAATAAAACTAGCCAAGAAACGCATGCAAAAACATTGTTAATAAAAAAACATCAAATAATATAAAGTTACAAAAAGCACGCAGTTAATAAAATTAACCGAAAAATGCATGCAAAAACAAAGTTAATAAAAAACGAGTGAGAACAACGAAAAAAATAAATGCATGCAATAAATACAAAAAAAAAAAAGTGTAAACCTTAATAACAAATGGTGTAAGTTATTGTTAATAATACCTATAGAAGAAATAAATCATACTAAATGGTGTAAGCTATTGTAATAATACCTATAGAAGAAATAAATCATACTAATTGGTGAGTAATAGTATGTTGTTACAGAAATGAATAATGTTGGGGTGGGCGTAGCCAAGTGATAAGGCAGCGGTCTTCGGTGTCGCTGTGCTAGGGTTCGAATCCTTCTATCCAATCCGTATATTAACGGTGGTGGCGTAAAGTGATTCTCTAATGTCAACGTTATTTAATAATACATATATAAAATATATTAACATTTATAAGTAGAATGGAAAAGTTTGTATGGAAAGTAGTAAATTAATAACGCTGGTGCAATAAAAATCTTAAGAGGTCATGGTATTGTAAGGAAGCGTCCATCCAGGTGTGTACGTTGAGGGGGAGGGGCGGGGGGAGAGAGAGGGGTTAGGGATACCTGGTGATGGGTCTGGCTTGCATATATGAGGTTGTTGATAATATAAGGTGTAGGTGAGTCTTTAGTGCTCGGGTATTATGGCAAAATTGAGGTTAGCATAGGTGAGTATCTGTGAGTGATAATGGTTGTAGCATTTGAGCTGATATTGTCATGAAGAAGGAATATCAGCAACATAGATAATAATAATGACCCTAGTGTACGAATCTGGTAGCAATATACCTATAAGGTTTCTGACGGATTTACGTGGTACATGGTGTTGGTATCTCCGTTGTAAATGCATTGTCAAGCTGGCTGGAATTAACTATTTGGCGCAATAAGAAAGAACGCTTTATGTGCTTTGAAGATGGTGAATAAATAAGAAGACAAACAAATGAGGGAATAGAGTAACATTTATACCGTCAACGGAGATTTTTATTAGCATTGATTTTCTCCACTCTTGATAATCGTATCAGAGAATTAGCTTTTTTAAATGCAAATAAACGATAGTAAACAATCTAAAGATAATTTTGGCACAACAAATTTCATGCGGTACCTAGACAAGAATAAAACATTTTAAAAGTTCTAACTTTAAAGCAAACTTTCATTGCAGAAATTAATTAAATCTGCAATTATAATTGATTTCAAATATTTTTTAAATATTAAATTAATTTTAGTCACAAATCCAGATAGGATTACTTAAGAAATTTCGACAGATTTTAAAATTTATAAAAAATTAAATATTAAAGACGTTTTAATTTTAATTAATTCTGTTTCAGTTAAAATCTGCCAATGCTGGAAATATACATTTTATCTAAAAATGAACATTTATTGAACTTAATTGATTACTTTTATTTGCATTAAACTTGATCTGCTGACATTTTATTTACTATTTTTGACATTTTATGTTAACTTTAAAGCAAACTTTCATTGCAGAAATTATTAAAACTGCAATTATAATTGATTTCAAATATTTTTTAATTATTAAAATTAATTTCAGTCACAAATCCAGATTGGGTTACTACAGAAATTTCGACAGATATTAAAAGTTTTAATAAAATAAATACTAAAAACGTTTTAATTTTGTTTAATTCTGTTTCAAATAAAATTTGCCAATGCCGGAAAAATATATTTTTTCTAAAAATAAACATTTACTGAACTTAATTGATTCTTTTATTTGCATTAAACTTGATCTGCTGACATTTTAATTACTATTTTTGACATTTTATGCTAAATTTATTAAAAGTTAACTTTAAAGCAACTTTCATTGCAGAAATTAATTAAATCTGCAATTATAATTGATTTCAAATATTTTTTAAATATTAAAATTAATTTTAGTCACAAATCCAGATAGGGTTACTTAAGAAATTTCGACAGATTTTAAAAGTTTTAATAAATTATATATTAAAAAGGTTTAAACTTTAATTGATTCTGTTTCAGTTAAAATCTGCCAATGCTGGAAATATACATTTTATCTAAAAATGAACATTTATTGAACTTAATTGATTACTTTTATTTGCATTAAACTTGATCTGCTGACATTTTATTTACTATTTTTGACATTTTATGTTAACTTTAAAGCAAACTTTCATTGCAGAAAATTAATTAAATCTGCAATTATAATTGATTTCAAATATTTTTAAACATTATAATTAATTTTAGTCACAATTCTAGATAGGGTTACTTAAGAAATATTCGACAGATTTTAAAAGTTTTAATAAAATGTTTTAAAAGTTTTAACATACTTTCATTGCAGAAATTATTTAAATCTGCAATTATAATTGATTTCAAATTTTTTTTAAATATTAAATTAATTTCAGTCACAAATCCAGATTGGGTTACTACAGAAATTTCGACAGATTTTAAAATTTTTAATAAAATAAATACTAAAAATGTTTTAATTTTAATAATTCTGTTTCAAATAAAATCTGCCAATGACGGAAAAATATATTTTATCTAAAAATAAACATTTATTGAACTTAATTGATTACTTTATTTGCATTAAAGTTGATCTGCTCACATTCTATTTACTATTTTTGACATTTTATGCTAAATTTTAAAAGTTGACTTTAAAGCAAACTTTCATTGCAGAAATTTACTAAATCTGCTATTATAATTGATTTCAAATATTTTTAAATATTAAAATTATTTTTAGTCACAATTCTAGAAAGGTTACTTAAGAAATTTCGACAGATTTTAAAAGTTTTAATAAAATAAATAATTCTGTTTCAAATAAAACCGGGAAAATATATTTCATCTAAAAATAAACATTTATTGAACTTAATTGATTACTTTTATTTGCATTAAAGTTGATCCGCTGACATTCTATTTACTATTTTGACATTTTATGCTAACTTTGGACTTTAAAAGTTAACTTTAAAGCAAACTTTCATTGCTGAAATTAATTAAATCTGCAATTATAATTGATTTCAAATATTTTTTAAACATTAAAATTATTTTTAGTCACAAATCCAGATTGGGTTACCTAAGAAATTTCGACAGATATTAAAAGTTATAATAAACTAAATGTTAAAAGCATTTTAATTCTTACTAATTTTATTTTAACTAAAAAGGGTGAAAAGTTATATCCTGTTTAGCTAGTAAATCAAAAAGTGTTTTTGTTCTTTTTTGTAGAACAGTGGTAGTAACTGCAGTTTTTGGTCAATTGCCAGTAGCCTGGTGGATTTCCATTAATGATAAAAAATTTTGGCGACGCATTGAGATGACAAGGAATCTAGAATCGACCATGAATTAATTGCTTTAACAATAATCTTCATTAATCGTATGTGCGTTGACAGACGAGTGACATAATGTGTAGGAGAAAGTGCGTGGCGTATGCCCAAGTGATAAACGCACGGTCTTCCGCGGTGTCTTCGGCTGATGCATACTGCCGTTATCGAAGTCCTTCTATCTAATACCAGTATAATTAAGCGTGTGGGGCTTGGTCAGTAACGTGTAACTCTCTAATTGTCTAACGGTATTTATTTCAAATCACTACATATATAAAATTATATTAACACTTATTATCCAGATAGCAAGGTGGAAACAAAATGATTTCGTATTGGAAAGTAGTAATTAATATTACTGACCTGGGCCTAATTAAAAACTCTTTAGATTAGGGTAATAAGGGTATTAGTCAAGGAGCGTTCCATCTACGGTGATGTACAGTTTGAAGGGGGAGGGAGGGCGTGAAGAAAAAGAGGCGAGAGAGAGGTTTTAGGGAGGTACTATCATGGTTGAATGGGTCTGAAGCTTGCAAAGTATATGAAGAGTTGTTCGGACTTGAATATAAGGTGTAGGGTGCAGTCTGTTATGTGCTACGGGCTATTAGATAGGACAAATGAGGTTAGCATAACGA